TTTTCCCCATCTAGTTATTAATACCAGGAGGAAAAAAAAAAAGTACATTTGCCTTCTCTCAATTTCATGGTCATGGAGGGGAAAACAAAGATGAAATCTCTAACCATGTCAGGAGATATCATGACCTACCATATTTCAAGAATATCTTTCTATAGTTTAACGTCAGAATTAATGTTTCTGAAAAAAATAAAGCAATAAAGAGGAAAAAGAGTTCTTTAGCATCATTTGTCAGGTATTGCTGTTCAGAGGTGGACAGTAACATGTGGCATGTGACTAACAAACTAATAATTATAGTTGGGTAACATATTTACAGCATAATTAACATGAAGTGATAAAGTGAAAATATAGCCTTTGATATATGAGACCTGTTTTCAGATCTTTAAAAAAAGTTACAGCCACCACAGTGTGAATATTTTTAAAAATTAATTGATTAAAACCTCTTATTTTTTGTTATTGATGGACTCATTAACAAAGTATTTATTCCAACAAATTACTTTTGCTATCTTGATTAACCCAGTTGCTGTTTAATTAATAGTGTTATGTGAACCCATGAAGCCAGCATGCTAATTGTCAATCTGCAGTAAGCTGACTAAAGTGTACTGCCCAGTTTCTTGATATTGGCAATGTTGGCTGTTGGCTTGGCATTAAGTGATAAGACTTAAAAGTGTGTTCCCGGATAACTAAAGAAAATAGGATGCAAATGAGCTGTAAGATACTTAATATGGTCATCTTCAGTTTCCGTAATCACTCCAAGGGAACAATGAAGTGGCTGGAACAGGATATCCAAAGAAACAAAAGTCACTAGCACCTGGAAGAATAAGCAGGAGCCTCTGGCTTGATCCAGAGGGCAATTTAGGTGCCAAGGTGGATTTGTCTTGATGATACTGAGTTCAAGGCCTTGAAACCTTCTGGGACCCCTGCACTGTACAAGACTACCTATCTTGCCTGGAGACCCCAGCCTAGTAAAGTGTCTCAGAAGACACCAGTGTTATTCTACAGAAAATAAATGGGAAACTGTGGGAAGAGGCTGTTGTCCCGTGCTTTCATCCAGCTACACAGTGGTCAGGGTAAACATCTTTCTGTGGCGAGAATAAGCAATACAGAAAATACTCAGCTTTTTCATGGAATCACACAGTGGTTGGAAGGGAGCCTAAATATCATCTGGTTCAACTTTCCTGCCATGGTCAGGAACATCTTTCACTAGATCAAGTTTCTCAAATCTCATCCAAGCTGGCCTTGAAAACTTCCAGGAATGGGACATCCACAACTGCTCTAAGCAACCTGTTCCAGTGCCTCACCACCCTCATTGCAAAAAATGTCTTCCTTATGTTTAATCTTGATCTACACTCTTTCAATTTAAAATTGTTACCCTTCGTCCTGTCACTACAGATCATTGTAAAAAGCCTCTCTCCATCTTTCTTATAAACTCCCTTTATACATTGAAAGGCCATGGTAAAGTTTAAATAGGCCCAATTCCCTCAGCCCTCTGATCATTCTCATGGCCCTCCAGGTGGAGTCTCTTGAGAGTATAGTAGAGGGGGAGAATAATCTCCCTCAATCCACTAGCTACACTTCTTGTGATGCAGCCCAGGGAACAGTTGGCTTTCTGGACTGCAAGTGCACTTTGCAGACTCCTGTTAAGTTTGTCATCCACCATGATACCAAAGTTCTTCTCAGCAGGGCTCCTTTCAAGCCATTCATCCCCCAGTCTGCACTGATATTACAGATTGCCCCGACCCAGGTGCAAGATCTTGCACGTGGCATTGCTGAACTTCGTGAGGTTCATATGGACGCACTCCTTGAGCCTGCCAAGGTCCCTCTGGGTGGCATCTCTTCCCTCAAGCCCATCAACAGCACCAGTCAGCTTGGTGTCATCAGTAAACCTGCTGAGGGTGCACTCAATACTGCTACGTAAGTAAAGAAGGTATGAAATAG